AAGTAATAGAGCTATGCAAATCAAACCATGATTAATAGCCACCCCGAATGATGTGTGTGTGCGCTAGACGGGCAGGATATAAATTTTTTTTTTCATATTGTCTGGCTTGTCCTTGAGTACCATAAGGACTGCGCCGTTGCTGGGAACTACAAAGAGATTTTAAAACTCGTGATACAAACCGAGCAAGCTTCATGGCATAATGGACAGCCACCATGCGCAATGTGCTCGATTCGTCCTTATTTAAGGACCAGTGTGGCTGTAATTACACAACAAGTTAAATCCAGGTCAGTCTTTGGTGATGGTGGGGAATGTTGGTAAGGTTTAAGATTCGATGTGCACACAACCCTCCCCCCCAAAAAAGCAAACTCAGTCTTAGCCAGATTTTTGTATGTTGTTGAAGTAAGGAAGACCCAATGCACGTATGGTCTTGCAAGAATGGGGCTGGAGGAATGGGTGGGAAGAGTGAGAAGTAATACAAGTTTTCAAAATGAAGATAATTCTTCGTAAGAGAGATATTTTTTTGTACTGGGTAAACTTTGGTTTCAGAGAAGCCACCTTAACTGAATCACAGACTCAATCAAGATCTTATCAAAGACATTCAGTCATCTTGGATTCAAAAAAAGAGGCCCAAAACACATCCCCAACTGTATTTAAAAAAACGACAACACGCCACCTTCTTTTCATGGCTGCCAAAGTCCACCAGAGGGCATCCTTAACCATTGATCTCACCTGCTCCAGCCATTTACTCTTAAAACATCTGGATAGTTAACCTTAGTTCCTGTTCATTCCATTATTTTTTTTTGTTTCCCAGTGGTGTGGGAACTTGGAATGGACACTGACTGTAATCCAATGCCAGGAACCAATCTGGCATAGCGTCGGAGTCGTCAGATTAGAAACGGAGAGGGCATGAGTTCTAATCCTGCCTTAGACACAAAACCAGGTGAGTGAGTTAGGGTGGGCCCATTTCTCTCCATTCCAGGAAAGAGAGAGTGGATAGCTACATCCAAAAAGTTTATCAAGAAAACTTCAGCGATTTATTCAGTCAGTCTCAGTAGACTTGATGCTTTTTCAAAAGGCAACTTGGTCTTTGTTTTTTTTCTTTAAAGATATTTTGTTTCTTTGAAGGAATTGAAGAAGCTTCTTGGGCGGGTAGCAAAACGTCTTCAAAGAAAAACACCCAAGAAAGTCCAGTTGCCTTTTGAAAAAACACCTTTGGGACAACCGGTGACCTGGATGACCGAGGATCTCCATAAACAGGAGACCCGACGGCACACAATTTTTGTATAATGCGTGAAAGACAACCCGTCAAATAGTGTCAAAGTGCAACTTCTGAAACCCAGGTCAGAATTTTCAATAGTTTTTCAACGAGCCACAGAATTGCTGAGAATTACAGCTCTGCCATTTTTGCAGGAATACAAACTCCCAGACTATGATCTCATGAATTCCAGCGAAAGCAATAAAACCCGCTTCTTCCAAAGCAAGCAAAAACCGCAATCCCTAGGTTAGCATCTGAGGTTTCTTTTCCCCAAGTTTAATATAAAATAGGAGAACGGAAAGGAAATCTGTTGGCCAAGGCTTCGTGGCTCCTTTCAGTTCTCACTAAATCCAGGTTCCTGGAGGGTTTTTTTTTTTTTATGATGGGCTTCATCCCCTGTTTACATCTTTCGTCTGACCAAGTACAGGGGGTCTTAAAGCATGGGGGATTCTGGGAGTTGAAGTCTCACTTGGTATGAATGGAAGGTGACTTGTGATTAAGGCCACCAGTTCTAAGCTGCAAAAATCCACTTGACCACTAAGACTTATAGGAAACAATGCTCTGATGATCTTTTGAAGTTCTAAAACCAAGTAGTTCTAATTTTATTCCCGGTTTCTAGCAACTGTTTTGGGGTACTTTCTTCAGACTGAGTTCCAAACATAACATCAATCAATCAAGTCCAGTCCATTACACCGATTACACTGAAATATAGAAATATGTGATGCATAGAGTCCTTCCTTCTTTCCTTCCTTCCCTCCCTCCCTCCCATCCATCAATTATCTTCCTTCCTTCCTTCCTTCCTTCCTTCCTTCCTTCCTTCCTTCCTTTTTCTCTCTCTCTCTTTTTCCCTCTCCCTATCTCTTTTAAATGGGTTTTCCCATACTGCTTCTTAAATCCTGAATATTCACCTTTGAGCTTTGTCTCTCAGAGTGATATGCAAATCTCTGTGCCCTGTTAGTTCTTCCCATGGTGCACCAATGTTTGGGTTTCCATAGCAGGCTTGTCCAAACAATTGAAAATAAACCTATTATTCTGGGTTCATAAAATATCTTGGACTATAAATTAATCAAGCAGCCTGGAGTAGCACAACCCACAAAGACAAGAAGGAAAAAAAGCACCAAAAAACAACCAATGTCACATTAACCAAGCTTAGCAGATTGCATGTAATGCAATTGCTCGGGCTTTAATTGGTCTGCTTGAACAAGGAATGTCAAGTCTGCTAATACTGGTATCAGATTTTGGCAGCTTAAACTAGCTTTCTGCTCCTTCAGCAAGACGAGGATCCTCGTGACTCTGAAGGCACCCCCAGTCCAAGTGATTAACCTCCCGTCTCTAAATCTGGAAGGTTTTCATCATTCTACAACTGACTGTAATATTTTTCTGAATCACTTGTGATTGTTGTGAGGTTTATTCTTACATCATTCCTGCCCTCCGTTGCTTTTATTTTATGGTGAACCATCTTTTCAAATTCTTGTTAGAAGCATGAAGAGCACTAAAATACAAACCCTGTAGATTTTGCCATCTGGGACAATTCCTTAGTAAAAGAATAACTGAGGTTGGATTCAAAAGGAGAAAATTTGATCCAGTGATTTGCCTTGAGTACTGAGCAAGTACAGGTAGCCCTCGACTCGCAACATTTCATATAGTGACCGTTCAAAGTTACAACGGCACTGAAAAAAGTGGCTTAGGATCCTTTTTCACACTTAGGATCTTTGCAGCATCTCCGTGGTCACGTGATCAAAATTCAGATGCTTGGCAACTGGTTCGTACTTAGGCATGGAAGTCAGCTACTTTGGGCCAATCACCAGGAGACAGTGAGTTCTAGTCCTGCCTTAGGCATGGAAGCCAGCTGGGTGACTTTGGACCAATCATCAGGAGACTGGGAGTTCTAGTCCCGCCTTAGGCATGGAAGCCAGCTGGGTGACTTTGGACCCATCACCAGGAGATTGGGAATTCTAGTCCCGCCTTAGGCATAGAAGACAGCTGGGTGGCCTTGAGCCGGTCTTTCTTTCTCAGCCCTAGGAAGGAGGCAATGGCAAACCACTTCCAATAAACCTTGCCAAGAAAAAGGCAGGAATTTTTCTAGGCAGTTTCCAGGAGTCAACACTGATTCAAACAGACAGGAGGGGGGGGGGGTTTAGATTAAAGCTAATCCAAGTGAAAACTTTCTGAGTAATTTGGGAGGTGTGTCCCTCAATTTAATAGCACGGTAGACAGGCCGAACTTTATTTCGGTCATTGACCAATAAAAATCCAATCAATAAAGCGAACAACACAAAATGATCCCCCCGACAACAGGAGCTACGGGTGATCATTTGTGGGCAACCCTTACCCACAACGGAGCAACAATTTTGCTATTTTGTTAGGGAAACAAATTCATCTTGATTATTTAACAGGTAGTCCAGACTACAGCTAGCGGCCTGCTCTTCCTTTAATTTAAATTTATTTAATTAAAAGAGCAGTAGGCAACGGGTTTGAGCATCAAAATCTCCAAAAACCAGAGGTAGCCTTAGGAATTACTGGGATTTTAAGATAAGCCTTCTTTTTAATTTATTTAATTTACCTTCTGCAACAAAACCTCTTTGTTTCCCTAGTTGAGAGATTCTCCATTGTGATACGATAAATCCATATGGCAGCGTTTCTGATGGCTGAGACTTCAGCTCCCTCTCCTGAAGAGGCGGTGGTTAATGGGGGGTGTAATCCAGCGCCCCTCCCAAGAGGGCAGAGGATTGGAGAACACCACGCCTTGCTACCTAAAGCAAATTCACAGCAATTCCCCACTCCCCAATTTATCTCCTGTGCTTTTATGCACAACTTTTAACAAAGGGTTGAATTTGAGACCGAGGAGAGGGTCTATGGAGCCAGCTTATTTAAGCAGGCCAGGAACAGACTGAAATTTTGCAATGTGTGTATCTATAGGCTATAGGAAAGCAGTTTGCACCTGATTTCCCAGTTTTGGAGTTGGTGCTGATGTGGCTTTAAAACAAAACCAAACCGAACCGGAGAACTGCAGTCTTCTCAATTACCAGCCCAGCCTTCTTGGCTGCAGTGACTGGCAGTTGACACTCATCCCAACCAGAGGGAAGCAGGTTGGAGGAAGCGGATTTTGATGGCAGCTGACAAATTGGCTTGATCGGGGTGTGTGTTTACCTCCCTCCTGACTGCGTGAGGAAGTTGCCAAGACTTGGGGTCCCCAAGGAGCACTACTGCCCCCCTTTCACTCAACCATGAGGTGGTGAATCTCCTCCTCCTCCTCCTAGGAACACTACTACCCTCCCCCTTTCACTTGACCACGAGGTGGTGCATCTGGATGGTTTCATCCCCCCCCCTCCTCCTCCTCCTCCTCCTCCATCTCCGGACTTCAGGTTGTCTCCGTGTGTTTGCCTGCGCGTGTGTCTTTGTGTGCGCCCAAGCAGCTTGGCGGCTTCTGCGCCTTGGTCTCCTCCCTTCCCCAATTCTGTCGCCTCTGAGTCAGCCGAACCTCACCTCGCCCCCTTCCCCTCCCAAGCCATTGACAAGCAGACGACCACCTCCACCACCCACCCACCCACCCCACCCCGGCACCACCTCGCAGCGGAGGAGGAGGAGGAGGAGGAGGGAGTGTGGGAGGGAGGGAAACGGGGCGTCTCTTGTGATGCCAATCGGAGCGAAGAGCGCGCCTGTCTTTTGTGTCCCTCGCTGAGACAGACGGAGCAGGAAGAGGAGGGAGAGAAAGAACGAAAGAAAGAAAGAAAGAGAAAGGAAGGAAGGAAGGAAGGAAGGAAGGAAGGAAGGAAGGAAGGAAGGAAGGAAGGAAGGAAGGAAGGAAGGAAGGAAGGAAGGAAGGAATTGGCCGTCTCTCAATCATTCGTCGGGTTGAAGAGAGAAGGGAAAAAAAAAAAAAAACCAAACCCGCCTCGGTCAAGGTATCTCCGTAGCTGGATCGAGAGGCAGGGAGAGCCGCCTCCTCCAGGGCCGTCTACTCGGCAGCCCCCGACCCAGGGTCCCAAAGGCACGGAAAGAAGCCCCCTCCTCCGGACGCGGAGAACCCCCCCCCCCACACACGCCCTGCTGGATGTCAACGCGGGGCGCCTTTTCAGAACCCCGGAGAGCTCCGCAACATGGCCAGCCTACAGCAAGGCGAGAAGCAGCTGTTTGAGAAGTTTTGGGAAGGGACCTTCCGAGCCGTGGCCACCCCCAGGTTGGGGAGCATCATCATGACCAAGATCACCTCCCGTGCCAAGCCCCTGGCCAGGTAAGACTCCCGTTTCGGCCACTCCTGCCCTCCGGCAAGAGGAGAACCGCGTCTCTCCGCTGGTTTGCTAGTTGAGATCTTCCCTGTTGGGAGAGTTGGGGGATCCCCGAAGGCTGTTCTCTTTTGCGGGGGGGGGGGCTGGTGGTGGTCATCACTGGGCAGGGTTGCAAACTTTTTCCCAGGCTGCAGAGAAAGGCTTCAGCCTCGTTGGTTCCTTGACCCTTTGGTGCAGCAAATTACGTTAATGACAATGGCCCCGGCGACATGTATTGCATTTATTATAACTCGTATTATTTATTACTCCGGCTTTTATACTCACCTCTAATACCGCTGACATCGTCTTCTGGTTCGGTTAAATATTGCTGCTGCTGCTGCTCTTTATTTCTGCTGTCTGTTTTGCTTGGACTGGCCTCTGGGTGAGTCTTCTTTTGGGCTGCTCTGGATCGGAGTTGATCCGGGATGCTCTTTTCAGATTAATTTTTCCTGGGTGACAAGACGTTCTCCTTCTCTTCCACTCCACTTCTGATATTCATGGGACAAAGTAAAAAAAAAAAAACGATTCTTAATTTAGCATCCAGTGATGGTAATCATCCTTATGGATATCGAGGGTCACTCTTGACCCAAGATGCTTATCAATTTTTCTGACAGATAGACAGAGGTAGATTGATAATATAATGGATCTCCTGTGACCTTCAAAGATCCAGACAGGAAGGGAAACTGTCAGGAGGCAGAAATGCAGTTACGTACACATTATTTGGCTCAAAAAGTGAAGGATGAATATTCCTTAGACGTATATGTTGTCCTTCTGCTTGAACTGCATCTGCCGTGCCAGTTTCGTATATTCCTGAAATAAAACTCTACCGAGATTATTTCAGTGGTGGGAGAAGATAAACACCCCCTCGGATTTCTCAGAGAAATCTTATGGATTAAGAAAGATAAATGTGGAAACTAGACGTGATATACCTCTGTGGTATGTTGGTTAAGAGTATTGGTCTAGGAGGGTGGAAACCTGAGTTCATGTCCATGTTCAGCCATGGTTTCTTCCTGGCTGTCATTCTCTCCTACTTCAGCCTCTCCCATGTGGTTGGGAGGAAAACTGAAGAAGAGAGAGAGGGAGGGAGGGAGGAAGAGAGAGAGAGGGAGGGGGGGAGAGAGAGATGCATATAGCATTGAGTTCTTGGAGAAATATAGGACTTGTAAAGACTAGAAACCATATATGATTCCTGGAGGAGGAATCCCATTGAAAGACCATGATGGTTTCATCCAAGCTTTTATGCCATTACTCAGCTGCATGTCTGGAGCAGACGTGTCACCTAGGAGCTTCCTGAAGGACAAAGAGATGTAACCACAAGGGCCTGGTGGCAAACAGGGTCGTTCTTGATAGCTTCCCTATTTGCTTTTCCCTGAAGTGGCCCAAAATAACATTTGCTCATTAGGAACCAGAGCAGAGTGGTGGTGTATCGTAAGTGTGTTGTATGGAAGTAGTGGAGTTATTTTTCTCTTTGCTTTCAAGTTAATTGACAGGGTGTCCCTTGAGAAGCTGTTTCAAAAAGTGGGCTGCTTTGCCCTCCCTGACAACAATACCTTCAAAATCATAAACGCACTAGGCTGTCGCCTTGTGAAGATTTTGCCGTTAGGTTAGAAGTGAGGAAGCTTTTCGAGCAGGAGATTACAAAATGTGCACCATCGCACCCTATATTTACGTGAAGTCGCTATTTTGTTGTTGTTGGCCAAGAGTTTTGAAGGGGCTGTTTATTTTACTGGTTAAAATGGGCAAGGTTATCCAGTCTTGACCAAGGTTGGGTTCGGTCGACACGTGGAGAGAGCGTGAGAAATGATAAGAAAATCATAGGATTGTAATCTAGAGAAGGAAGCTGGAAAGAATTCCCAGAGGAAGGAAGTGATAAACTACCCAGAGTCATTTGCAATTATATAAAGTTACAGAAAACAGAATAACAAAGTTGGAAGGGACCTTGGAGGTCTTCTAGTCCACCCCCCTGCTCAAGCAGGAGACCGTAGACCAGGGGTAGGCAACCTTGGCTCTTTTGTGACTCGTGGACTTCAACTCCCAGAATTCCTGAGCCCGCCAAGATTGCCTACCCCTGCCCTGTAAAGCATCTCCAACCCCCTCCTTCCGCTCTCTCCCTCCCCCTCCTCAGACTAGGGCGACCTCCAGACATAACTGCCAAAAGTTAATAAGTGTCCTGTGCCTTTAAGATATGCAGCTAAACATATCCAGCGCAATCTCCTAGTGGTGTTTTTTCTTTTAATAAAACAAATTCCCCCTCAAAACCTGTGTTGGAAAGACCCCCCCCCCAACTGAGAACAAACCACTTCGTTAGGTTGCAAATTCCCCAACCTATTTCTGGACAGCTAAATTCTTCTGATGTTCTTTAGGGCCATTAAAACTATCTGATCATTTCTCGGTGGCAGGACTTTCCCCTAGCACTGATAGTAACCCCCAAATATTTTTTTTTGGGGGGGAAATCCCTTCCTCTGGATAGAATTTCCTCCTGACCTTCTCCAGGTGAAGTGTGAAAAACTAGAAAGATTGCAGACCGAGGGAGAGAACTTTGCAGCACGCAAGGCCAACCGTTCGCAAGCGCCGTTTGGCAGGCGTGGCATCACTTAGGGGTCCAAACATCACATTTCTCCCATGAGAATTTCACTAGTCATTTTTTTCTCCTCCACTGAAAAAAAGCAGATTCTCTTTCAGCAAGTCGAAGTGAGAGAATAGTGGGAGAACGGAGCAGCATTTCTGAGTTAACCCAAGGGAAGGCCGAAACGATGCATTCGTGGAATAGCTCCATTCATTTTGCCTTATGCTGTCACTCTTTCAAAATGTTATAAGCCAGTAAGAGCAGTGGAGATAAAAAGCCTATCCTTAGAGGAAGGAAAAGAGATTGTAACGTGATGAAGAGGAATCACAATCGGTGACAGGATAACATGTTCCAATATCTAAGGGGCTGCCCCAAGGAAGAGGTGGTCAAGCTATTCTCCAAGGCAGGACAAGAAGCAACGGGTGGAAACTAATCAAGGAGAGAAGCAACCTGGAACTAAGGAGGAATTTCCTATCAGTGAGAATAATCAATCAGTGGAATGGCTTCCTTCCAGAAGTTGTGGGTACTCTATCATTGGAGGTTTTTAAGAAGAGATTGGACAGCCATTTGTCCAGAATTATATAAGGTCTTGTGCTTGAGCAGGGGGTTGGACTAGAAGACCTCCAAGGTCCTTTCCAACTCTGTTGTTCTGTTATTCAGTAGATATGCAGTGCCAGCTGTCTTTGAAGGCATCTAACAATATCTCCCAAGCACTAATGCTTGCCCGCCATGATTGAAAAGCAGAAGAATGCAGAAAGTATCTCAAACTATTGTTGTGACAGGACCCTGTTTTCCATTTCTTACAAAGCAATATTTTCTGAAGCTCTATTTTTCTTCCCTGTTTTAAAGCGCAACTGACAACATGATTGGAAGCCTCACCCAGCTGTCTAAACATTATAATAATTTAAACATGACTGATTCATTGGTCCTACCAGATTTTGGAAGCATCAGAGCCTGGTTTAAAAGCAAAGCTATTTTTCTTTCTCCTTTTTTTTGTCTTCTTTCAAGCTTGTCTTTCCTCCATGAGCTTAAGGTGGCACTTCCCACCATTACAGCTCTACTACAACGATGCTACAAAGATAGCTTGGGCTGAGACGGGTTGGCGATTCAAGGTCAACCAAGCCATTCCATGGTCAAATGGAACTGGAAATGACCTCATTGTGGTCTAGTCTGCACTTATTTATTTATATATTTATTAAACAAATTTTTATAGCCACCCTAACTCACACCAAAGTGATTCCCAAGAGTTAGGCATGCTCCATCCTTGGAGGTTTTGAAGAAAAGATTGGGCAGCCATTTGTCTGGGTTTCTGGCTTGGGCAAGATTGGTCTAGATGACCTCCAAGTTTCCTTCCTCCTCTGTTATTCTCTGTTCTATCTCATTCTCATCGTATAAAATCTACACCTAGGACAGGTTGCCGTTACGCAGAGGGAGCACAGCAAAACAGACTGACTCCAAGTTGGCTAATGCCTTAGAAAAGGTTACCCCACCATTCCCTTATCCGTTCAATCTGTAGGCTGAATATAATATATACTCGGAGAAGATGAGGCTGGTTTTGAAATTGTAGAAAGAATTGTGCTGATGACCCTATTCTGACAGCCAAACTTGCAAATGATCTTCAGGCTGTAATAATGAAAGTCAAGGCGCAGAGTGGGGGAAAAAAACGAGAATATGATTAAATAGAAGGAAGACCAAACTAATGACAAATATGGCAATCTTAAAGTTGATGGGGAGAATATTGAAATGGGGGTTGGACTCTGATGTTAAGATCTACTGCCAACTTTGGGGGGAGTGGGGTCTCAGCGGGACGTGAGCTGATGAGATGGTGCCACAATCTGTCATATCCGACGCTGCCTCCTTGCTTTTTAATTCTGTACGATATTGTCGATTGTTGTTTATGTTGCTGCCTTATCATTTCTTATTGTGAGGCACCCAGACTCATGTTTTATGAGCTGGGCAGCCCTATAAATACAATAAATAAAAATGATAAATAAGGGAATAAATAAACAGGAAAATGATCTGCAGTGAATAAACATACCACAGTTTAACACTTCGCAGAATAGCAAGGAAGACCTTGGAAAAGATACAGTTCTCGATCTATAGACCATTTGTTTAGTGACCGCAGATACAATGGTGCTGAAACATGTGGCTTACAGCCAATGCTCACACCTACGACCGCACAGCATCTCTGTGGTCATGTGAACAGGATCTGCCAACAAGCTTGTACTTAATTGTAGCATCCTTGGGGTCACACAAGCACCATTTGCAACCTGGTCAACCGGCTTCCGACAAGCAAAGTCAGTGGGGGAAACTGCATTCACTTAACAGCTGTGGCCAAAATGGTCGTAGAAAGAGTATGAGCCACTTAACAACCATATAGCTTGGCAACAAAAACTCAGGCGGCAATAGTAGTTGTAAGTTGAGACTCTAGAAAGCGTGCAGAGAAGAGCAACCAAGATGATTAGGGGACTGGAGGCTGAAACATAGGAAGAAATATTGCAGGAATTGGGGATGTCTAGTCTAGTGAAAAGGAGGACCAGGGTTGACATGAGAGCTGTCACAGAGAAGAGGAGGGGGGTCAACCTATTTTCCAAAGCCCCTAAAGGCAGGACTTTTTTTATATAGCAACGGATGGAAACTAAAACCAAGGAGAGAAGCAACCTAGAACTAAGGAGAAATTTCCTGACAGTGAGAACGATTCATCAGTGGAACAACCTGTCTCCAGAAGTTGTGGGTGCTCCAATACTGGAGGTTTTCGAGAAGAAACTGGATAGCCATCTCTCCAGAATGCTATAAGGTCTCCTGCTTGAGCAGGGGGTTGGACTAGAAGACCTCCAAAGTCCCTTCCAACTCAGCTGTTGTGTTATTCTTTTTGGTGGCATTCAGAATTCCCTTTCTTGGGCAGTTGAGGTGGCTATATAC